TCACTCTGTCTCCAGAGTGTGCCAGCCAGACGCCAGCCATGGCACCAGGGCTTAAGGCCTGTCCCTACAGCCACACGGCCTCTGCCACCTCCAGCAACGCCACCCCGGGCTCGCCTCTGCCTACCTCACTTGACTTCTGCAAGACGCTGCCGAAGCAGTTCAAAAGCTTGTGCCGGAGGGCCACYCCACCAGGTGCGTGCCCAGGGACAGCACTCGCCACAGCCTCCTGGGCTGCTGTGCTCCTCCCCTTGCTATGCTCTCCWTAGGGCAGGGCTGGATCCTGTGGGGGAGGCACACTGACCCCAAGGCCCTGTGTGAGCAGGGCTTCTATCCCAAGCACTCGGATGCTTGGGAGGAGAAACAGTTTGTGCAAAGATGGTGGGCGGCTCTGAGCATGGCCCCGGTCTGTGCAGCACAGCCGCCGTCTGACTGTCTCTGCTCCCACTCCTCTGCAGGTGAGGCCTTCCACTCCTCAGAGCATCATCAGCACTCCGACCTCACTGCTCCTCCCAACAGTCCCACCGGCCTCCCCTCTCAGCCACCGGCACTGATCCCCTCCAAGCAGACATCTCCCCATCCGGGGCCCTTCGGCTCTCCGCCACACATCCCGCTGGGCACCTCCTCGCAGGCTGCACTCTTCCCTGCTCCCAGCGTGCAGGCAGCAGCCCCAAAGCCGCTGTCCGAGTCCCCTCCTGGTGGCGCAGCCTCGCACAGCCCAGGGCCGTGCAAGAGCCCTCACCTGCCCCCTGCCAACGTGCCGCTGCTGAAGATGCCGCCGCCGCTGTCGGGCTGTGCTCATCCCTGCAATGGGCACTGCAGCACTTCGCTCATCCCTCCTCCTGCCTCCCACCCGCTGCCCAGCASCAACAGGTGAGTAGAGCAGCTCTGCCTGCATCCAGCCTCTCTTGTGTGGCCATGTGCCTTTTTTCCCATCCCTGCCCACAGATGCACTTTGCTCTGTGGAGGGACTGGTTGCCCTGGCATGATGGTGCAGAAAGCTGCTCTTTGTGGGCCAGTTCTGCTGCTGCAGACCTCTGGTCTCTGAGGGTCAAACTTTTTCTCTCCCAATGGGTGTTCTCCCTGTGATTGTCCTTTGGTTCTGTGGTACAAAAGAGGCTGTGCTTRCTCCTCCAGCTAAAAGATCCAAAGGAACCGCCTGGTCAACCTGCTGTTGGCCAACAGAACCTTTGTCAGTGAGACCTGTCAGGCAGCTGTGGCACTGAGCAAAGGTCTTTGAGAAGATGAAACCTGTGGACTTGTTCTGCTCACCTGCTCCCCCGGCCCCCTCTGGTCTGCCTGTGCCTTGGAAGAGAGCATACTGGTTCCTCTCCACTAATCAGCTCTCCCTGTGGAGAGCCAGCCGGGTCCCAAGCTGGAGCTCAAGGAATGATGCTGTGGGCCGTGCCCTGGCCTCCCTTTCTCTGAGCTGGGTAGACTGTGTCCGTGTGAGCTGGGCCTGCCTGCACGTGGTGATGTCTGGCAGCTGCACACTGTCCCAGCGTTCCTCACCTGTGCTACCTGSCACCCCCAGTGAGTACCACACCCTGCCCTGCTCCCAGCCCAGGGCCTGGCAGGATGCTGCTCCATGGGGCTCTGCTACACCAGCCTTATACTGGCCAGAGACCCCGAGGGCTGGGAGTGACAGATGWCTGCTGCCATGRGCTCCTCTGGCATCTCCCCCAGAGRAGGAGAATGYRGAAGAGRGGGTTTGCCCRTAAATCCTTYTGCTTGGGCATAAACTACCSCAGGAGGGCTGTTCCTACATGCATAGCATGGGGCAACTTTTGAGATCCCCTGGCACCTGCTCACCTCTCGCTCTTCTACCCTTCTCTTCAGGGACCCCTCCTGCAAAGGGCACAAATTCCCAAACGGTACCAGCTGCCACCCGCCTCAGCCCTGTGAGGCAGATGAGGGGCTTGGGGAGGATGAGGACAGCAGCTCAGAGCGCAGTTCCTGCACYTCCTCCTCCACCAACCAGAAAGATGGGAAGTTCTGCGACTGCTGCTACTGTGAGTTCTTCGGCCACAACGCGGTGAGTGAGGGGCTGGTCTGCAGCCACGCGTAGTCCTTTCGCTGTACAGGGAGACATCACTCAGTCCCTGTGCCCAGAGTGTGGGGGTGGGCAGGTCTGGTCACGGCTCTTTCCTGTGGGCATGCACATCCCCCGCTTGCTTTGTACCMTGCTTCATCAGCCTGCTGGTCCCTTGCTCCCGACTCGCAGCTGCCTGCCCAGCCCCAGGGCTCGGAGCAGCCGGCCAAGCCCTGTGGCTTCACCGTGGAAGAGCTCAGTAGAGCTGTGCTGACTTGTCTCACTGAGACCGTGGGGAAGGGAGTGGCTGGAAGGCTGTGGGGGGCTGTTGGGGGAGCTGGGGCTGCCTGCCCCTCACGCTGGCTGGTGCYTGGCTGACAGCACTCACCTTTGCAGCCCCCAGCCGCTCCCACAAGCCGCAATTACGCTGAGATCCGAGAGAAGCTGCGCTCTCGCCTCACCAAGAGGAAAGAGGAGCTGCCACAGAAACTGGGGCACAACAGCAGCTCAGGGGAGCCCGCTGTGGACCACCGCAATGTGGACGAGCTSCTGGACTACATCAACAGCACAGAGCCCAAGCCCTTGAACAGTGCCAAGGCAGCCAAACGGGCACGGCACAAGCAGAAGAAGAAGGTGAGGCCGGGCAGGGGCCAGGGCTATGGGAGAAGGGCAGAGTAGGGTTGTGCTCCTGGCAGGGCTTCTCTCCTTGCATCAGTTTGGGTTCTTCAACTCTGTTGCTCTCCCCCCAGGGGGCAGTGGTGCCTGGCCCTATGTAGGAYTCCCCCTGCCTCTGTTCTTGCAGAAGGTGGCCCAGCCCTTCTGGTGGCTTTGGGTTGCGCTGTCCTACTTGCTCCATGCCACATCTCTGGTAGGGAGAGGCAGTGTCATGATGGCGCTTTCTAATGCCTGGTGCCCAGAGCAGTGTCAGTTTTGCAGTGTCCAGCTGATGCAGTGCCCATGTGGAACACGTGGCAGTTTGGGGAGTGTGGAAGATGTGGTGTGGCTGTGCTGAGCAGCTGCCCCTGAGTTTGCTGTCAGACAAAGCTGGAGCAAAGCTCTGTGGCCTGTGCCTGTGATTCTGTGGCCCAGCCCAGATGATCCTCATGGCACCTGTGTTGCAGGAGAAGGAGAAAGCCCAGCTGGAGGCAGAGGCCCAGAAGCGGGCAGAGCGTGCCCCTGCAGCCAGCCAGGCCAGGGAGCCGGCCGAGGAGAAGCTGCTGGAGTGGCCGGAGTTGGAATTGGARCGGGTGAACAGCTTCCTCAGCAGCCGGCTGCAGGAGATCAAGAACACCATCAAGGACTCCATCCGGGCCAGTTTCAGCGTCTATGACCTCAACCTGGATGTCAATGACTTCCCCAAGAAGGCAGCTGTCCTGGAGCAGAAGAACCTGCTCTCCAACCTCAACGGGTCTTCTGACCTGCAGGACATAGACCTGGCACTGGCCCCACTCAGCCTGGGCCCTGCCAAGAACCACACGCTGCTGCGGGGAGAMCTGGGCCCCCGATGGGGTGAGGGACCTGGGGAGCCCCCACCGGCCCCGCCTGCCGAGAATGGCGTGGTGAAACGCCTCAGCGCCGTGCCCAGCCTGTCCCGCATGATCTGGGTGCAGTCCAAGGCTGCGGACTCTGCTGCGGATGGCAGCGGGCTGAGCCCGGAGCCCAAGGAGGGAACRCAGCCTAAGGGGCCGGAGCTGCCCGAGTCTGTGCCCACAGGGAGCCGGCAGCGCAAGAACAAGCGGCAGAACGGGCAGGCAAAGAAAGGAGAGAGCAGCGTGGCTGTGCCCAGCAGCCAGGCCCGGCTGGAGAGCCCTGGTGTGAAGGGGCAGGTGCTGGGAACCAAGCACCCTTCCAAGGCCAGTGCCCYGGAGCCACAGCGGGCAGGCAGCTGTGCCGAGGCTGGGGAGAGTGGCAAGGGRCAGCCCTGGGGCTCTGGTGGCACCAGGACAGAGAAGGAGAAAACCGGCGAGTGGAAAGGTCGGAGGGGAGAGGGCAAAGCAGAGCTGCCAGAGCTGGTGCAGCAGCAGCAACCACCTGCCCTGGATGCCCCTCCTGCCCTGGGGGGCTCCCCCCAGCCCAAGGGCAAGAGCAGGAAGAGCCGGAATAAGGTGGAGAAATCCAATACCTCGATCGGTGAGTGCTGTAAATGCTGCTCTGTACCACCATCCTCGTGGTGGCYTCTTGCCTGCCCTGCAGCGCTGACCTTCTGCTCTGCTTCCCCAGATGATGTGTTCCTGCCCAAGGACCTGGACGGGGCAGAGATGGATGAGACTGACAGAGAAGTGGAATATTTCAAGAGGTGAGGGGAGAGCCCCGAGGGGCTGAGCTCTGCCAGTGGGGTTGGAGGCGTGGAGGGGCTGGGTTCACAGAGGAGTTGGGGGTCGTGAGGAGCTGGGGCTGACCTGGGCTGTTCTCTCGCTGTCAGGTTCTGCCTGGACTCGGCCAAGCAGACGCGGCAGAAGGTGGCTGTGAACTGGACCAACTTCACCCTGAAGAAAACCACTTCCAGCGCAGCCCAGTGAGGTGCGGAGGGGCCACCCCTACCCACCCACGGCCGCTCGCCTCTCCTCACTGTGCCCCCCGCCTCACCTCGGTGGGATCCCCTCCTTCGCGGGGGGCCCCGGTGCTCTCCTGCCCCGCGGGGACCCCCGGGGCCCCCTCCATCCTCCTGCCCCTCCCCGCGGGGTGATCCCGGCCGTCCCGTCCCCCTCTCCGTGGGCACGCGGTTCCCCGTGYCGCGGGGAAGGACCGTGCTGGACCCAATAAAGAACTTTTTAATTTTTTATTTTATTTAAACCCCGCTGTCTGCTGCTTTCTGCCGCGCCGGGGAGGTTGGCGGGGCGGGAGGGAGGGATGTGAAACRCGTTCTGCGGAAGTTTGGCCGCCGCGGGGCCCGTCGTCCGAGTGGCAGTTCCCGCCCGATGGCGCGTTATGCGTGTTGCTAGGCGACGGCGGTCTGCGTGATGACGTCACTTCCTCTMTATCTTCCGGGAAGGAGCCATGGAGGCCGTGCCGGAGCGGAAGGTGGGAGCGGGCCCAGCCTCCGGTACCGCCCGCCCTGCGCTCCCGGTGCCGCCCCGGGGCCCATCTCACCGCACGTCTCCCCACAGAGGCAGCGCGAGGAGCCGGCGGACACGTCCGACCTGTCCGGAGAGGATGATGACGACTACGTGCCCTACGTGCCCGTCAAGCAGCGCAAGCAGCAGATGGTAATGGGGTAACGGGGCTGCCYGGGGAGGGCACCGAGCGGCCCTCCCGCCGCGAGGCCGCTCAGTYCTCCTCGACCCGCGTCCTTCCAGCTGCAGAAGCTGCTGCAGATGCGGCGGAAGGTGGTGTCGGAGGAGGAGCAGCGGGACAGCGGGAGCGAGCAGCGCGGGGACGAGGATGACATCCCGCTGGGGCCCCAGTCCAACATCAGCCTGCTGGACCAGCACCAGCACCTCAAAGAGAAGGCGGAAGGTAAGGGAGGGAGCTGGTGGGGGGCTGGGTGGGTTTCAGGCAGCAGCAGACCTTCTCACTGTTTCCTGGTTCTTCCCCAGCTCGGAAGGAGTCAGCCAAGGAAAAGCAGCTGAAGGAGGAAGAGAAGATCYTGGAGAGTGTGGCAGAGGGCCGAGGTGAGTGGGAGCTCTGTGTCTTGGGTCTATCTCCAGAGCTCCCAGGCCAGCAGGAGAGCTGTTCCCTGCCTTGGGAATGCTCATATCCAGGAGTGGGACTGGAGGTGACAATGGGCCCTCTCATTTGGCACTGCCCATCTTAGCTGAGACATGGCTGTGACAGAGGGACTGTCAGTGCTGCTGCTCTCCCTCCTCTATCTCTGAACATCATCTCCCAAGCTGTTTGCCCAAGAAGCTCTCAGTAGGGTTAATGTGGATGTGGAGAGTTTGCTCTGACTCATCATCTTGGTTCCTGCAGCTCTGATGTCAGTGAAGGAGATGGCCAAGGGTATCACCTATGATGACCCCATCAAAACCAGGTAGGTTGCACTGCACAGARCTTGCTTCTGAAAACATCACTTTGTYGTGGTTGAAGAGAACTGGAAGCCAYAGATTCTTGCAGGAGCAGTGTGGCTCTGTAGCCTCTTGCCCAAGTGACTGGCTTTGTGCCATTGTCTGTAAGATCAAAGGCTGTTGAGTCACCYTGGTTGTTTTATATACAGTAAGGCTTCGTAAAGCACATTTTTGTTACGTTAAAAGGCCTGAGGGTGAATTCTCAGGTCTGGGAGATCACCAAACCAGAGGAAGAGACTAGAGGAGCCTTTGGAGCCAGTGCTGCTCGAGGCAGCATTGTCAAGGTGGTGATTGATCAAAGGTTGGATGGTTGGATTCAGTGATCTCAGAGGGCTTTTCCAACTTCAGTGATTCTGAGGTGGTGTCAGAAAGATGATTGAGGTATGTTCAAACGTTTTTGGCATGTTCCATCCACCATTCATAGGCTGTTCTCAGCTGTTAGCTTGGCAGTTTTCACTGAGATTTTGGGGATGGGTTTAATACATAAAACTGGCTTGGATCTGCTTCTGTGCTCACTCCACAGTGCTCCTTGGGTTACTTGTTTTACCTGAGCAGATATTGGAGCCTGACAGGGAGTTCCCCTGAATTCCTCCATGGGAGCTGCTGGCTCTGGAGCCCTGTCCTCTTTCTGCACCATGACCTGTCTGTGTTGCTTTCCCAGCTGGAGGGCCCCTCGCTACATCCTGGCCATGTCGGAGGCACGGCACGACCGCGTGCGCAAGAAGTACCACATCCTGGTGGAGGGGGAGGGCATCCCGCCCCCCATCAAGAGCTTCAAGGAGATGAAGTTCCCAGCAGGTAGGCCAGGAGAGGAGCCTGGTAGGGAGTCCAGYTTTTTTCTGGCTGTTGGCCTGAGGGATGTTTGTCACTGGTGGAAGAGCTGCTGCTGGGATCTTAGTGGGGGAAGAGAAGGAGGAGTTCAGGTCGTGAACGTGTGTTGTCCCTTATTCTCTGACAGCTATCCTGAGAGGCTTGAAGAAAAAAGGGATCCAGCAGCCAACACCCATACAGATCCAAGGCATCCCCACAATGTGAGTGCTCTGTTCCCATCCCRGTGTGCAGTTGCTCTCGCAGCCCAATCAGCAGTGGGGACCGGGTGCTCTTCCCTGGTGACAGATGCACCCTGTCACCTTGCTCAGCTCTGGAGGTTTGAGCTGTTCCATGACTTTCCTGCTCCCCATTGGCCCTGTTTCCCTGGCAGCCTCTCGGGAAGGGATATGATTGGCATTGCATTCACTGGCTCTGGGAAGACGTTGGTGTTCACCCTCCCGGTGATCATGTTCTGCCTGGAGCAGGAGAAGAGGCTGCCRTTCTCCAAGCGAGAGGGACCCTATGGACTCATCATCTGTCCCTCGGTGAGTGTAGGGAGGAGGCTGCGATTGACTTGCAGCAGCAGTCCTAAATTCTGCCTGCACAGAGGTGTAGGAATGAGCTGTATTTGTCTCCATAGCGGGAGCTGGCCCGGCAGACCCATGGCATCCTGGAGTACTACTGTCGTCTGCTGCAGGAGGATGGGCTGCCCCCACTGCGCTGYGCCCTCTGCATCGGGGGCATGTCTGTCAAGGAGCAGATGGAGACCATCAAACAGTAAGACTTTATGGGTGCATCYGTGGGGCTGGAGCTGTTCTGTTTTCTGGCAGGGTGCTAAGAGGTGGCACCCTGGCTTCAGGACAACGTGAGGGTGAAAGTGATGTCCTGCACGGGGTAGGTATCCCMAGGGCCTGACCGTGGCCTCCTCTCATCACACAGTGGGGTACACATGATGGTGGCAACCCCCGGGCGCCTGATGGACCTGCTGCAGAAGAAGATGGTGAGCCTGGACATCTGCCGGTACCTGGCCTTGGATGAGGCTGACAGGATGATTGATATGGGCTTYGAGGGGGACATCCGTACCATCTTCTCCTACTTCAAGGTACTGAACTGCCATGGTAAGAGCTCAATCCTTCACATGCCAAGTTGGGTGAGTGCTAAAGGCTTCTTCCCTGTGCAGGGCCAAAGGCAAACCCTCCTCTTCAGTGCCACAATGCCCAAGAAGATCCAGAACTTTGCCAAGAGTGCCCTGGTGAAGCCCATCACTATTAATGTTGGACGAGCAGGTGCTGCCAGCCTGGATGTTGTGCAGGTGAGGTGTTTGGGTGCTCCCTCGTGCCTGTGTGGGCATGATGAGGACATTTAATGCCTCCCTCCGCTAGGCAGCTGGGGTTCATGGCCTCTTTCCCAGTTGGCTAAGGGATACCAAGCAGTGATAGTTCCTCTGTTCCCTGACCCATCCCTATGTTTGTTCCTAGGAGGTGGAGTATGTGAAAGAGGAGGCCAAGATGGTGTACCTGCTGGAGTGCCTGCAGAAGACCCCTCCACCAGTGAGTATGCTGGGGACAATGTTAGCACACCAGGGCACAGGGAGAGCTGGCAGTTGGGACTCCCTGTGTGGGGTGGGCACGTGACTGAGCCATGCTCCGTTATGAGCAGGTCCTGGGACCAGCAGTGCTGTGTGCTTGGCTCAGTGAGAGGGAATGRGCTTCCCTGGGGGCCGTGCTGGTGCCAGCAGTGCCAGCCTGCAGAAAAGGCTCTGCTGTGATGCCTGTGCTCCTGCAGGTGCTGATCTTCGCAGAGAAGAAGGCGGATGTCGATGCCATCCATGAGTACCTGCTGCTTAAGGGTGTGGAAGCTGTGGCCATCCATGGAGGGAAAGGTCAGTGAGGGTCCTAGGAAGGGCTGGGCTGTGGTGTGACCCCACTCTTGCCAGAGATGTGTGTGRTCACAGGTCCCAGCATGGAGCAGTTGGTGATAGGGAGAGGAAGGACTGTTGATATTGTCAGGAGTGAGCTCCACKTTGTGTGTAGCAGGCATAAACACAGTGCAGGTCCCTGTGGGATGTAGAGGTCCCTCTGCTCCTTCATTGGGAGAAAGGCTGCCTGAGGAAATGATGTTTGGCTCTGAGGCCATAGTGGCTGCTGCACTAGGTAGGGCTGGGAGCTCTGCCCTTGCTGATCTTCTCTGCTGGGCCTTTGCAGATCAGGAAGAACGGACAAAAGCCATCGAGGCCTTCCGGGATGGGAAGAAGGATGTCCTGGTTGCCACTGACGTTGCTTCCAAGGGCCTGGACTTCCCAGCCATTCAGCACGTCATCAACTAYGACATGCCGGAGGAGATTGAGAACTATGGTGGGTACTGAGCCTTGTGGGAGAGGTCTAGAGGTCAGCAAGGCTCTGTGCTTGTCTCTGCAGTGTCTTGGGGTGGGGATGGTCAGTCACACTGCGCTCACCTGGGCTGATCCTGTCTCTGCAGTTCACCGCATCGGGCGTACAGGCCGTTCAGGCAACACCGGCATTGCCACCACCTTCATCAACAAAGCCTGTGGTGAGAAACAGCACGGGGCTGGGGGCTGGAGGAGGCAGCTGGGCAGTGGCAGGGAGGTGTTCTGAGTGAACAGGATGGCTGGTGGAGGGGAGATAATGGTGCTACGCTTTGTCTGACTTATGTCTCTGCCCCCAGACGAGTCGGTGCTGATGGACCTGAAGGCTCTGCTCCTGGAAGCAAAGCAGAAGGTGCCACCTGTGCTMCAGGTGCTGCACTGTGGGGATGAGACTATGCTGGACATCGGAGGTGAGAGATCCCAGCCTGACACAGGGACCCCTGCAGGCTTGCTGCAAAACCTGGGCTCCAAACAGCCCCAGCTCCCAGTGCTGCACCACTGGTGTAGCCCCTTTGCCCTGGGGTGGGGGCTGCTGTCCTGGTGTGGCACTGTGCTGTCCTGGTGTGGCACTGTGCTGTCCTGGTGTGGCACTGTGCTGTCCTGGTGTGGTGTTGTGCTGTCCTGGCCCTGACCCTGTCCCTCCCATTGCAGGTGAGCGGGGCTGTGCCTTCTGTGGTGGCCTGGGCCATCGCATCACTGACTGCCCCAAACTGGAGGCAATGCAGACCAAGCAAGTCAGCAACATCGGCCGCAAGGACTACTTGGCCCACAGCTCCATGGACTTCTAGCCTGGGGAGTGTGCTGCCTGCAATCCCCTTGGATGGGCCTGGGTTCCCTTTCAGCCCAGGGGCATGTCTTGCACTGCTGTGGCCTCTTTTCCAGACTTTTGGTCACCGGGACTGTTGCCAGCTCAGCCTGACGAAGATTCTGTCCCGGAAGGAAATGTATGGAGCTGTGCTGCAACAGCCCATTACATCAGCAGTGTGTTGGGCAAGCAGGTAGCAGTGCCTGAGGGCAAGAGAAAGTCCCAGGTGCAGCAACTGGTCTGGCCAGCTGCCTGCTGCCCCTGCCAGCCCCCTGCTGTGGTGGGGTCATGGTTTTGCATTGCTCATTACAAATTCCCCAGTTTCTCTGGGTCTAGCTCCCTCGCCTGGGTTCGTGCATCCCTCAGTGGGTGGCTGTTCCCATCTCCCCAGACACGCTGGGATGCAGCCAGGGTGAGGCAGAACGTGCCATACTCATGTCAGATGCTCCCCGAGGTGCTTCCTGTGCTCTGCCCCCGCGTTCTGCCCCACTGCCCTGCTGCAAGGGGGAGGGCAGGCGCATGGACACCTCCTATGGCCCAGCCTCTGCCCCCCATCCCACACCCTAAAAAGGGGAAGTCMCTCTGAGAAGGAAGTCTGCCCCCTGCCTTTCCTTCAGCTGCAGCAGTCACATTTTCTCTGCTGTGGGAGAGTCCCTTGTCTTTGTGCTGGCAGCCAGGGTGGACTGGGCCCATGGAGAGACCAGTGAAGGATGGGATCCTATATGTGCAGCACTCCAAATTTGGAAAGGTAAAGCATGGATTTGGGGTTGGTAGAGGGTTTACCCTGATATGCTGTGACGCTAGGCCTGGGCCAGACTCTTGGTGGTCTGGAAAGGGGGACTGGAGCCAGACCCCTTGGAGCTGTCATGGGGAGAGCCCTGGGCTCTGCAGCCCTACAAGGGGGGCTCTCCCTGTGGCTGAGAGGGCTTATCTGTGTGGGCACCCACTCTGGCTCGCTCCCGTGTGGGGTCCTTCTCACTCGGTCACCACATGAGTTGCAATGGAACAATAAACGTGCGTTAATGGCACAGCCCCAGTGTATGTGTGTGGGAGCGGGGCTCTGGGGCAGCATGTGGGATGTGTCCCTGTGCCCTTCATAAGCCTCATGGTGGTGGGCTAGCACTATCTGAGGGACACCCTCATGGCTTGGGCTATTTTCCTGTGCCTTGAGAGGGGATGGAGCATACCACAGCCTTTCCAGGCAGGGTTATGGGTGACATGGTGTGATTACCCAGGATCTGGCCGCTCCAGGCAGCTGTTGGGTGTTGGTGAAGCAGGCCCCCCTGCACATTGCCATGCCATGGCAGGATGGCCGTGTCCTGTGGAGGTCTCGGTGGATGTGTGGGGCTGCAGTTACACTCTGACCTCCCTGCTGAGCAAGAACCAAGCCCTGGAAGCGCAGTGGGCAGCCCTGTGTGCGAGGAGCCGCTACCCTGCCATGTTGGAGGCAGGTGGGCTGGGGGCGGTGGGTATTTTGGGTGCTTGGCTGCATCTGGTTCCTGCAGGGTGGAGGCTCTGCTGCACTTTTGAGGTACAAGGTGGCACGCGCCCCCGCTATCCCATGATAGACTGGGAAGGTGCTGGTGCTACAGAGGCTCCCCTGGGAGGAAGTGGGCTGCTCAGCAGATGTGAGGCTGCCAGCAGGAGCCTCAGCAGCTCAAAATGGCTTTAATTTGCATCAGGGTCTGTCCTGAGAACAGCTYGAGAGCTCAGCTGCAGGGCGGCAGGCCGGCACTTGCAGCAGGGAACAAAGAGCAGGACCTGGTGCTCAGGGAGCTGGGAGTGAGCATGACTCATSCAGTGAGCCATGCCAAGCCTGCTCAGGGCAAGGCCCCCCTCAMCCCAGCTTTGGGCCTGCCCTGCCCCACAGTTTGGGGGTCTGTGCTGGCTCCTGTTCTCTGTGCCCTCCAACAGCACCAGGACTCCCCTATGCCCCTCGTGCCCTATATGGCTGTTCCCGAGCACTGCTGACCCTGCGTGGAGGGCAGTGCTGCCAGATACAGCAGGCAGCTCTTTGCTGACCTGTTCTTTCCCTGCCCCTGCCCTTCCCGTGCGTTAGAGGTCCTGGAGGAAGATGCGAGCCCAGCTGTTCGCTGCCAGCCCCTCTGGCGTGGCCCGCATGGAGAAGTTTGATGTGCGGGATGATGGCACRATCCCGGAGAAGACATCCCTGCAGCGGTGTGCCCGCCGGGTGATCCGCCTCTCTGACTGCGTTTCTGTGGGCCCGGCAAGTGCACAGAGCTGCCCCAAAGCCACCGCCGCCTTCTACCTCACCACCACGGAGAAGAGCTACATGTTGGCGGCTGAGCAGCGGGATGAATGGATCASCCAGCTCTGCCAGCTGGCCTTCCAGGTAGCGAGGGGTCTGGCAGAGCCAMGAGTCCTTGTGGTGCTCCTGCTTCATCAAGCTGGGGAGCTCTGGGGCAGGCAGGGGGCTTGTGCTCCACCCTGTGTCAGGCCATGCTTGTGTTCCTTTGTTTCAGGGTGCAAAAGAGACAGTGCTGAGTAGTGCCAGGACCCAGCCCAGCCTCGCTGTTCCCATGGAGGAGAACTCCCTCTACTCCTCCTGGCAGGACTGTAAGTGCAGGGGTGGTGGATAGGGCTGGGGTGGGGTGCAGCTCAGTGCTGCAGTGCTGACCCCTGGCTTGTTTTACTCCCGTAGTGACCGAATTCCTGGTGTTGGTTGTCCAGACAGATGCAGCCACTCGCTGTGGCTTGCATGGGCACTACCTGCTCTCAGCCCTTCCCCAAAGCCTGACATTAAAGGACCCCCAGTCCCGCCAGCCCCTCCTCACCTGGCCCTACCCCTTCCTTCGCAAGTTTGGCCAGGATCAGGTGAGTCTCCTGTTCTCTTCTTGGGGCTGTTGCCTGCCCAGGATGGGTGCCAGCCCCTCACTCTCCCCTCTAACCCCACAGGCTGTCTTCTCCTTTGAGGCTGGCCGCCGCAGTGACTCCGGTGAGGGCACCTTCACCTTCAGCACCCCACGGGCCCCTGAGCTGTGCCAGGCCGTGGCTGCTGCTATCGCCTGCCAGCAGGGCAAGGACATGCCAGACTCCAGATTCTTCTGCGTCTCAGACCCCCAGCTCTTTGCACAGGGCCTCGAGCCCCAGCCCTGGGTGCCTGGCAATGATGATACCCAGCCCAGCCCAGCCCTGGGGGGGACACAGTCTGCTTCCCACCCAGCTGCCAGCCTCCTCCGCTTCACCCCACCGGAGCCAGAGGGCTCATGCCCCATCATCTATGCCTCCATTGCCCGGGGCCAGCAGCCCCTCTTTGTGCCAGGGCAGCCAGGCTCCGGTGAGCCCTGGGCCGTGGGGAAGCCACTCCCTGAGCATCTGTATGAGAACATCTTCACTGCAGAGCCTCATCCAGCCGGGGCACAGGAAGAGGAGGAGGAAGGGGAGTCGTACCTGGGGTGCCGGCAGGCCCCCGAGGGCCACAGCAGCGAGGGGGGGCTCCTCTATGACAACCGGGTCACCCTGGCACAGAACCCCCGGGCCRCGGGCTGGGGGCGTGGGGGGCAGGAGGCACTGTCGGGGCGCTCCGGGCACAAGCCTCAGAGCACCCTCCGGGCTAAGCTGGTGCGGCTGCTGAGCCGGGAGAGCCCAGGAGCGCGGGACTGGGCCTGATGTGGCCGGTGCCGTTTGGTCAATAAAGGCCCTTTCCGCACTCGGCTCCGCTGCTGCTGTGGGGAGCGGGCGGGAGCGGGTGGGGGCAGCTCGCGCCTCCCCGCTAGGGGGCGCCGCCGTGCCCGCCCCGGCCGGCAGAGACGCGCACGGTGATTGGCTGGAATGGCCGCTGGCTCCGCCTCAACCGATTCTATATAAGATGGGGCCGAGCCGGGCGGGGGCGGTGCCCGGGTTCGAGTCCCGCGTCTGCCCGCACCGTTCTGCTCCCCTCCCGCCCTCTTCGCCGGGCCCCGCTGGCCGCGGGTGAGTGCGGGGGGCCGGGCCATGGTGGGGGCTCCGTCCTCTGCCGCGGGTGATGGGGAARTGAGAGGTGGAGGGCTGGGGCCTGGCTCTAGGAGAAGGCGGGTGGTTGGGGTCGGGCCCGTGTGGGGCAGAGCCGACCTCCGGGMGGGGCGGCGGTGTGGGATGGGGAGGGCTCCTGGGGCCCCCCGCGGGTCACGGTGGAGCTCCCCAGCAGTAGGAAGGGCTGTCCAGCCTGTGCACGCTGGAGACCCCCGGTGCAGCCGGGCCCCGTCCCRCCGGGCAGGGGTGGGGGGTATCCGCCCGCTCCGGGCCGCCCAGTCCCGGCGYCTCGCTGGGGCTTGCGCGGCTGCCGGGAGCCGGGAATGCCTGACACGCAGCTCTTCCCCCAGCCCTCCCGAACGGGGAGCGGGCTGGTGTCGTCTTACACGCCTTATATAGCCCGCAGCGGCCCGGGGAGAGCGGGGGCACGCTGGCCCCCGGCCCTGCGGCCGGCCCGTGCGAAGCGTGGGGAGTCCTGCAGCCGGCCCTGCCCGCCCTCGGGAGGAAGGTCCTGGGGACGTTCTTGGGGGTCTGGAGGCTTCTGCCAGGTAAAGGGTGGCAAGAGGCTGATGCTGGCCCATCTGTCCGGAGCCTTGGCCGGCTGACAGCTGTCAGGCAGGGCAGCGCCGGGATTCCCTCCTGCCGAAGCCCCGGAGATGGGCTCGCTCCCAGGGAGCATCTGCTCGGCCGGCTGCCGGAGCGCCAACCTGGCTGCTGTGCCAGGCGCCTCGGGTGGCATCACGCAGTTCCTGTGCTACTGCTGCYGTTGCTAATTCATCCGGCAAAAATGCTTCTGGTTCATATCGTTCTGTACCTGCTGTTGCTCCTCTGTGGTCTGAACAGCTTTGGCTCTCAGCAGCAGGAGATCCTGGGGTGCTGCAAGGGAGAGCATATCMCAGTTTTGGGAGGAGAGCAGAGCCCACAGATACTCCATTGTGGGTGGCAGCAGGGCTGTGCCTGGCTCCTTGGCACTAGTCAGTGTTAGCTTGGGCCCCTCAGCTCTGACGTTKCTGGAGGAGATGCTGATGGATTTGGGGTGCGTCTCTAACCACAGTGTAGGATGGTCAGGGTGGAGTTACAGCTGGAAACGTGACCTGCCGGCTCTCCTGCCCTGCTGGGCGCTGAGCCCTCTCCTCGCCTGCTGTCCCTGCAGATRTATTGTTCCCACGTACCCTAACAGYGGGATCACACCCTCTTCCCTTGCAGAGATGGGTGACATGGAGTCCTACAAGGTGATGCTGAACGGGCCGGCACCATGGGGCTTCAGGCTGCAGGGAGGCAAGGATTTCAGCATGCCACTCTCCATCTCCAGGGTAAGAGAAGCCAAGGCTGGTGACACCCATCCTTCCCCCTGCCTCTGTTCCAGGGAGGCCTCAGTGGCTGAGGCAGAATCGTATGGGGGATGTAGATGAGCCGGGGCCCCGGGAATGCTGCATCCTGCCCTGCCTGGCTCCACGTAGCCTCCTTGGTCCCTTATCAGCTGCAGCCCAGAACGGGGGTGTTCCGGGCAGAAAGCTGCAGCAGAAACGTGAAATTCTGCACAGCCTCTGCAGAGGGGGGCAGGGAGGCCCCTTCCGGAGTATGCCCACCACAGCGGGAGGGGATCTGCTTTCTGAGTTSTGAGACTGGCTTCCTGGTCTGCACCCCAGTGCTGGGCTTGGCATCCCAGGATCTGGCCAGTGCCCTTCTTCCCTCCCTTCCCCAGCGCAGCTCCCAGCTCCATGCCTGAGCTCATTCCTGAAATGGGCATGGAGAGGAGGAAGCTGCGCTGCTGCCTGCGCAGGGACGTGACTCTCCACAAAACCRTCCCATTTCTGCAGTGACAGCCACTGTGCCACAGTTGCTGGTTTGAGCCTCTCCCGTTGTGATGCTCCCGGGACTGACCCCGGGTGTGTGCAGGTCCCCATCCCCGGGCGGGTGCTGGCCACAGCTCTGGCCACGCAATTTCCTTATAAGCCTTGGAATGTGACTGCATTGCCCGTGCCGCTGGCGCTTGGGCAGCTGGCACGGAGGCTGCTTCTCAAAGGGCAGCTTTGCTCRTGGCTAGGAGCACTTTGTGGGGACCTGCCCCTGGCACGAGCTGGGCACTGCAYGCCTGTCCCGGCGGGCAGGGATCTCTGCAGCATCCCAGCACGGAGCACAGGTCCCGAGGGCACTGTGTGAGGCTGGAGTCGCCGGTGCCGGTGCCCCGGGGCCTGCTGATCTCTGCTGAGCACGCAGAGACGGCTTCAGCGAGTTTATTCTCTAAAAAATGTTTCTCTTGGCTGTGAGCCAGCGCTTAACAAAGGGTCTGGTTGGATGGAGGAGCCTCCCAGAGCCCGGGGCAGGGGCCTCGCAAAGCAGTGCTTGGTGGGGCTGGGGCAGTGCTGCTGTCCTGGGCAGGAGCARCGAGGACATTCCTAGGGGGTGCAGCCAGCTTTGGGGGCTCTCTRGTGAGGCCGGGCTGCATGGCAGGGCAGTGTGCTTGGGTGGGCGGGGGTGAGCCTGTGCTGCTCTGCATTCCACAGGCATCCCCAGTGCTCCTGCCCAGAGCATGCTGCTGTCCTTGGCCACTGCTTCCCGTGAGCTGGCCCTGCCATCGTGGGCTGGAAGGAAGCATCCTGCCCTGGCTTTGTGGGCTGCAGTGGGGTCTGCAGGGATGGGCAGCACAGGGCAGTGCTGGTGTTTCCGTTGGCTTGACTTCCAGCTGTGTCCATCTCTGTGACACTCCTGGGTGAGCAGTGAGGCTGTTTCAGTTTACTGATCGCACAGAAGAGGTGTCCCCATGGCCCTCTGAACATGTGCCTCCTGTGACAAGGGGCTCTGCTAGGGTGCTGACACCTTGGCTAGGCAGGCTGTAAACCATGGTCCCTGTGCTGGAGCGGGGGTAAGGGCTGCAGTCTGGGGAGCTGGATGCTGTATGGCGTGGTATCTGCCAGCTGGGGAAGAGGAGARACCCTTTGGTGCTGCTGGCAGGAAGGCACTGAGGGAAGCTTTGTCCTGGAGGCCCCTGGACAGGGCAGTAGGTGAGCACCTCTCTGGATGTGGTGATGGAGGTTCTGGGAACAAAAGACTGACTGGGTGGAGAGAGGAGGAAGGAAGTAGGTTAGCGGGCCCGGGTGGGAAGTAGGAGGGCTGGCACTGCCATGGCTCCTGGCTGTGCTGGCACCTGTCAAAGGGGTTTCCTGCACGTTGGCATGGAGGGGGACGGAAAATGCTGACCAGGCTGGGTGAGGCTTCATGACGCAGTCTGACGTGCTCTCCCCTTCCTGGGCAGCCATGTGGAAACCTCACCCAGCTCCTACTTCTGCCTCCAAACCCACACAGCCGCCCCATGCCTTCCCCAGCCCTCCAGGGGCAGCAAGCTGGGGCTTGCAGCAGCATCACCAGGAGCTGAGGGCACCCTCCCGTGTCCGGCAGGAGGAAYGGGAGGGYGGTGAGGGGACASTGTCCCRCTGGGAACAGCAGTGGGATGCAGGKGGAAGTGGGCCACATCCAGCCCTTAAGTGGTGTTTGGCCTTGCATGGAGGGCTGGTGATGTCCTGGGAAGGGACATGTGGTTCTGGGGTGAGCTGCGTTCTGCAAGGAGGGGCTGGGACTGTGGCAGGGATTTTTCAGCCCTCTGACAGTGCTGGGAATCTGGCTCGCTCCTTTTATGTTCATGTCGAACAGGACTTGAGGAAATACTTGGTCTGGGTCCAAGCGCCTCGAGTTCTTCCATGCTGGAGGAGCAGGAATGGCTGCAGCCTGCCCACGTCTGTCTGTCTGTCTGTCAGTGCCTGGGAGCTGTGTGCGATGCTCCGGGCCCCGCTCGCCTCTGGCAGCGCATCCCTGGTGGGAGGRAAGGGGATGGAAGGGCAGCCTCCGCTTCCCAGCATGAGGCTAACGCAGAACCCGTGCCACGGAGCCACAGCAGGGGCARAGCGCATCCCTGGCACTGTGGCGGCACGGGAAACTTGTGGCTGCGCTCCCGGCTGTCCCAGCGGGGCGACGTGGGTGGGGGCGGGTGTCTCCCAGCCCCGGGAGGGCTCCTGCTCCTCTGTGGGAATGAGGTAATGTCTGCGCCTGCTGGGAACGGGATGCGAGCGCGGGCGGCTGGGGGGAGTGCCCAAGGGGTGCCTCCCCTGTCCCTCCCCGCCCCGGGCCAAGGGCTGGACATGCCTGTGGTTTGCAGAGAGATGTGTGCCGCCAACGGGCCCTGACTCACYGCGCTCCCTTCCTGCCCCGGGACTGACCACAGGGATGAGTCCGAGGGTGGCTGTGCTTCTTTCCGAGGCTGGGGCAGTGCTGCCTCTCTCTGGCGTCACGGCCATGAGGCCCTGGGGAGCTGGCAGGGTCCCCAGCTGTGCCAGAGGGCCCGGGCTGGGCAGTGCCCTGCAGCAGCGCTTTGCCTTCTGCTGCTGCCAAGGGGAAGAGGCTGCCCTGGGCTCATGCACAGGGAAATAGGGAGTGGTGTGGGGGTCCCCACCTCCTCCTGGGTCTGGCCTAGGGTGTCCTGTGCCAGGCTGGCGATCCTGGGCCTCTGCAGGCCCCTGCCCTCATGAGGGCAGCCCTCTGCTCTCACATCACTGCTGGCTGTGCTGCTCTCCCTAACTCTGTCTGTCCTGCAGCTGACTCCGGGCGGAAAGGCGGCCCAGGCTGGTGTGGGAGTGGGTGACTGGGTGCTGTACATCGACGGGGAGAGCACCAGTGCCATGACACACATCGAGGCCCAGAACAGGATCCGYGCCTGCGGGGACAGGCTCTGCCTCACCCTGAGCAGGTAGGAATTGTGGGTGCTACAAACAAGGGGTTCTGATATGACTGGAGAATCAACAGGACCCTCTGCCCGGTGCCATCTCCTGGCATCACCATCTCCCAGCATCACCGCTCCTACCTTAGAGCCTGGAAGCCCCTGGCTGTGTCCAAGGGCTCTGTTTGCCTGGGTAAGGTTTAGCCTGGCTGCAAGCCACAGGGCAGTGCCAGCTGGCTGTGATTCCCTTCGGTTGGGTGCTGCATCCCTGGGGTACCAACATGCTGGTGGTGTCTGGGCCAGCTCCARCACCTGCCCATCTGTCTCCTCTCTTGCAGGGCCCAGAACCAGCTGGGGAAATCGCAGAAGGTACGTGTTGCTCCTGGTGCCGCAGCRGCAGCTCAGCCTCATCTCAGGGGAAGGGAATCTCCAAGTGTAGTCAAAGAAATGGACTTTGCTCCTGGGGCTTTGAGGGTGTCAGGGTGTGTTTGRAGGTCTAGAAAACCCARCTGGAGGAGCAGCTCTGACCTCTGGCAACGTGGAGGATCAGAGGGAGTGGGGTCTGCCCAGTAGGTGTCTGTGCCCCTGCTGGTGCTGGGTGTGGGCAGGGGTGCAGAGGGGCCAGCACAGGGAGGGAGGCTGGGCAGGTGCAGCACCGTGTTTGCTAGTGCTGGGGAGTGCCCTGGCACGGGGAGGCAGGGCTGGGGCTGGTGACTGCTGGCTCCTGGGCAGAAGCCATCTGCATGTGTCCAGCTTTGTGCCATGGGACAGTTGCGATCGGCGTGTGTGCATGCACCGCCCTGCCACGGGCATCAGCAAGTGTCCAGGSCACCTACTAATCTTCAGATGACCCTCAGGCTGGGTTTGTGACTTGCTGAGCCAGGTGCCCTGTGGAGTGAGGTGCCAGCCTGGCAGAGCCCGGTCTCCAAGGTGCACGTGCTGTCTGGCTTTCCTACCTGGCTGCCTGCTGCGCTGCCTGGCCCAGGGCTGCCCCTTGCATGCTGCTTGATGTGTGAGCCCGTGTCTGTGTGTTTTGTCTCGCTCAGGACTCACTCCCCTGCTCTGAACCCCTGAAATATAACTTCGCTCCCAGCACCGCCCTCAACAAAACAGCTCGGCCCTTTGGGGCTGGCTCACCTCCGAACCCACGGCCCGGGCTGGTGACGAAACCCGTGACGTACGCGCCCCTGGCGCCCGCCTGCACCCCCCAGCACAACGGGTATGTTGCTGTCCATCCTGCTCCCTGAGGATCGGGGGGAGCCTGCTGCCCAGCCCTGCTGCGCCTTGCATGCCAGGCACCCTGGGTGGGAGCGGGTGACAATGCCCGTGCCAGGGTCCCTAGTGGCTGGTGCTGAGGTGGCACAACGGAACTGTCACACAGGGGGACACGCAGCCACGCTCGTGCCAGTCCCTCACTCAGGGGTGTGTCAGCCTGTGGGGACTCCTGGAAGGCTGGACACGGTGGCTGGCATCTGCAGTGGCAGCAGGGAAATGGGCCACATTTCCCTGGTGTCTGCCTGGGGATGTCMTGCTGGTGCCCTGGCTGCAGGAGCGGGCAGGGCAGAGTGATGGCCTCCAGCCCTGCCACACCGTTCTCCCCTGGCTCTGCTCAGCTGCATGTGTCCGGCAGCTACTGGTCCCTGCTCCTCCTGCCAGAGCTGCTGTGGTGCCCAGGAGCTGGGCAGTGGGACGGGATGTGGCACTGACTGCCCTGGGCATCCAGGCTGTTCTGGGGCCTGAGGGAGCACAGTCTGGTCTATTGGCATCTGCCCCTRTGTCCCAGTGTGCTCTCAGCCCTGGGTGAGCTGGGTGTGAGATTCGGGAATAGGGGAACTAATGCAGGCTGTAGGTGAGCTCTGGAAACTTCTTGGGTGCTGCAGGTCTAATTTCAYCTTCCTTTTTTCTTTCTTTCTYTCCTCCCTTTCTCTTTCCCTCTCCCTACAGGTGCTGAGCCTTGACAAGTCAGTAAGCCTTTTGCCTGCTCTCTCTCTTTCCTCCCTGCATGCCCCTTCCCTGCCAGTGCCCCGTCCTCTGGGGCAGGGCCAGCCTGGGGATGGGCAGCACATGCTGCTCTGCCCGTGTGGGTGGGTCACTGCTGGCACCAAGCTGTCCCCAACATAGAGGGCCAGTGCTGCCTGTCTCTGCCAGCTGCTGGGGCCCTGGAATGTCCTTGTGTGTGATCATTCCCTGTTCCTCTAGATGTGGCTCGGCTGGGCAAGGGCTGATGGGCTGTGCTGGGCTCCGTGCCCAGGGCCAGGTGGCACTGCCATAGACAGTCATGGCTGTGGTGCAGTTTCCCTGATGGTGTTTTTTTGACCTTGGCTTGTTCTTGCTCTGTCCTTTMTCCTTCTGGCCCTTGGGCACAGTTTCAAATTGCCTGGAATGGTRGTGGTTATTCCAGAGTCAATCCTTCATAGGCCCAGCCTTTGTGGAGGAGGAGTTGGGGGGTGGGGGGAGTAAGACAAGGTGTGGCATCTCTGATATTGGTGTGCTGCGATTCTGTGCTGGGGAAGGTGGGGCACAGCCCCAGGAGATCTGTCAGATTTGACAGATGACTCTGTCACTCACAGGCAGCCCCCACACCTGCTGGAGYCCCCCRGYRMCYSTGTGTGTGACCCTGTGAAGCTGCGGATGTTAGAGGACATTGACGACTCGCAGCCCCACAGCTGGACSTCCCAGTCCCGCTCCTTCCGCAAACTGTCCCGCCTGGTGGGCGCAAACAGCAGTGAGTTCCCACAGGGCCTGGTGCTGGCTGACTGCCCAGCTTTGCCAGGGCAGCTGGAGCTGGATGAAGGCTTTGGTGTCTCGTGGCACTGGAGTGTTGATTTTGGTCCTGTGGAGCAGCTGAGCCAGCTGGAGCTGCCCCAAGGCTGTGTGTGTGCTCATGGTGGTSCCRCTGGGCTGGGGCCGTGCTCTGCCCYGTGGCCAGGCAGGGYTGTGCAATGGGACATGTGGGCAGTGGGAGGAGAGGTCCTTTTCCCTTTCCMRTTCCTTTTCCCTTTCCACTGTCTCTGGGCCTCAGTTGCCTCAGACTGACTCCATCTCCCTGTTTCTCTCCTGCTGTGCTCAGTCGAGGATGGTGAGGACGAGCTTRTTAAAAAGCCCAGGTAAGGGGAGYGTGYRCTGGGGCAGCAGCAGGAGCCACAAGGCGCCCACCCAGGCTCAGCCCACATACCTGGTTCTCTCTCACTGCTTGCAGTCACTCAGGGGAAGCTCTTTGCCCTGTTGCTGTKTCTTCTCTCTCTCTCCAAGAGTTGAGCTGTTGGTGGAGCTGCAGAGTTTGTCCTGCGCTCACCCCACAGTGGTCACTGCCAGAGCTCAGCCACTGCTCTGGCCATCACCTTGGGAGGGTCCTGCCTGGACACCCACCAACCAGATAAGATGTTCTGTGCTGGGTAGGACCTGCTGGGCACTGCTGGCACCAAGCTGGGGAGGCCAAGCTCTACATTGCTTCTTGAGGAAARGGGATCTGGAGAAGGCTGGTGCACTGACAACACCTTGCTGAGGGTATTGGGAGGTGCTAGGCAGCAGCTGGACAGTGTGCCRTGAGCCTGGCGTGGGGCTGCGGGATGGCAGGGCAGAGCTGGGTGAGTGTCGCCGACTTCTCCATGTTCTGGAGTACGTTTGTGAGGGATGGGCTGAGCTGTGGTCAAATACTGAGCGTTGTGCTACTGTTTTTTCCGATATTGCAGGGATGCCCGTGGGTCCAGCTGGGGCACAGTGGAGCAGTGGTGAGTGCAGCGGGCTGGTGAGGGCACTTTTGGGAGCACTTCCCTGTGCTGAAGCAGGGTCTGTGCTTGGTGCTGGCTGAGATCCTGCCCTCTGTCACTCRCAGGCAGCCCCCACAGCCAGTGGAGCCCCCCAGCACTCCTGGTAATCCTGGGAAGCTGCGGATGTTGGAGGACTCTGAGGACTGGCAGCCCCGCACCGGCACCTCCCAGTCCCGCTCCTTCCGCAAACTGGCCCAGCTGACGGGCACAGATGCCAGTGAGTTCCTGCAGGGCCTGGCACTGGCTGGGGATGCTGGACTGTATTTGGGTAATCAGAAGTGGGCTGATGTGGCACCAGCAGTTTGAGTTTTGGCCCAGGGTAACTCGTTGAGGGCAGCTGAGCCAGTGAGATCTGCYCAGGGCTGTGTGTGGGCTCGTGGTGGTGCTGCTGGTCTGGGGCGGTGTTCTGTCCCATGGCCAGGCAGGGCTGTGCAATGGGGCAAGGGGATGGTGAGTGGGGAGGTTGGTTTTCCTCCTTTCCCTTCCTGCTTTTCCTGGACCTTAGTTGCTGCAGACTGACRCCATCTCCCCCTTTCTCTCCCGCTGCGCTCAGTGGAGGATGGTGAGGATGAGATTGTTAAAAAGCCCAGGTAAGGGGAGCGTGTGCTGGGGCAGCAGTAGGAGCCACAGGGTGCCTACCCTGCGCTCAGCCCACAAGGCTTGTTCTCCCTCTCTGCTTGCAGTCACTCAGGGGAAGCTCTTTGCCCTGTTGCTGTTTCTTCTCTCCTTATCCTCCACCTATCTGTCTTGTCCTCCTTTCTTCCTAGAGCCAAGCTGTTGGCAGAGCCACAGACTGCCCTGTGCTCACCCCACAACTGGCACTGCCAGTGCTCAGCCACTGCTCTGTCACCTTGGGAGGGTCCTGCCCAGACACCCAGCAGCCAGACAGGCTGCATCCAAACGAGGTGTCCTTCTGCTGGGTGTGCAGGCAGGACCTACTGGGCACTGCTGGCACTGAGCTAGGGAGGCCAAGATGCGGCACAGTGTGTTGGGCACAGTGGGCAGGGGTGGCTGGTGGCACTGACAGCACCTTGCTGGGCATTGTTGGGARTTGCAGGGTAGGGACCAGACCAGACCTGGGGCACGATGTCTGGTGAGGCTGTGGAATGGCTGCAAGGCTGGTCAGCAGCAAGTGCTGTCACCATTTCCAAAAGGCTCGCGTGTCTCTGGGGCTGTGGATGCATATGGGGAGGGATGAGCTGGCCAAACACTGAGGGTTGTGTCACCATTGTTTCTGATACCACAGGGATGCCYGTGGGTCCAGCTGGGGCACGGGGCAGCAGCGGTGAGTGCCAGGGTCAGGCAGAGGTGTTGGCATGTGCCAGGACACCTTTGGGGATGCTTCCCTGTTCCAGAGCACGGTCTTATCTTGGTGCTGAGCTCCTGCCCTCTGTCACTCGCAGGCAGCCCCCCCAGCTGCTGGARCCCCCYGGTGACTGTGTGTGTGACCCTGTGAAGCTGCGGATGTTAGAGAACATTGATGACTCAAAGCCCCACACTTGGACGTCCCAGTCCCGCTCCTTCCGCAAACTGGCCCGGATGGTGGGCGCAAGCAGCAGTGAGTTCCTGCAGAGCCTGGTGCCTGGTGCTGACTGCCCAGGCATGCCCAGCTTTGCCAGGGCAGCTGGAGCTGGATAAAGGCCGGTGTTAGAKTGGGGCAGTGGTTTTGACCCCATGTGGGCCCTCTGTGGCAGCTGYTCAGGGCTGTGTGTGTGCTCGTGATGGTGCCTCTGGGCTGGGGTCATGCTCTGCCCTGGGCAGGGCTGTGTGTTGGGGCAGGAGGGCAGAGAGGGCGTTTTTCCTTCCTTTCCCTTCCCTTTCCTTCCTGCTGTGCCTGGGCCTCAGCTGCTGCAGACTGACTCCATCTCCCCTTTCTCTCCTGCGGTGCTYAGTGGACGATGGTGAGGATGAGCCCGTTAAAAACCCCAGGTAAGGGGCAGCAGCAGGAGCCACAAGGTGCCCACGCCAGGTTCAGCCCCCACTTCACCCTCACTGCTTGCAGTCGCTCTGGAGGTGCTCTTTGCCCTGATGGGGGTTCTTCTCTCCTTCTCTGTCCCCTCTCCTGGAMACTAAGTGTTTTCAGAGCTGCACAATGGGCACTGCCAGCGCTCAGCCACTGTTGTGTCACCTAAGGAGGGTCCTGCCCCAAGCACCCACACGGGTAGGGATGGCTGGTGACAATCACAGCACCTTGCTGGAGATGTTGGGAGGTGCTGGGCAGCAACTGGTCTTGGTGCTTTGCATCCCGTGCAGCTGTGGAGCAGCTGCAAGGCTGCTGGTCAGCATTTCCACATGGCTTGTGTGTCTCTGGGGCTATGGGTGCATATGGCAGGGATGGTCAAACAGTGACTGCTGTTCTGCTGTTGTTTCCAATGTCACAGGGATTCCCGTGGGCCCAGCTGGGGCGCAGTGGAGCAGCGGTGAGTGCCAGGGTCTGGCAGAGGTGTTGGCATGTGCCAGGGCACCTTTGAGAGCACACTGCCCTGTGCTGCAGTGTTGGGCAGGGTCTGTGCTTGGTCCTKGCTGAGATCCTGCCCTCTATTGCTCACAGGCAGCCAGTGGAGCCCCCCAGCACTCCTGGTGATCCTGGGAAGCTGCGGATGTTGGAGGATGCTGAGGGCTGGCAGCCCCGCACSGGCACCTCCCAGTCCCGCTCCTTCCGCAAACTGGCCCAGCTGACGGGCACAGATGCCAGTGAGTTCCTGCAGGGCCTGGCACTGGCTGGGGATGCTGGACTGTGTTTGGGTAACCAGAAGTGGGGTGATGTGGCACCAGGAGTTTGAGTTTTGGCCCAGGGTAACTCATTGAGGGCAGCTGAGCCAGTGAAATCTGCCCAGGGCTGTGTGTGGGCTCGTGGTGGTGCTGCTGTCTGGGGCTGTGTTCTGCCCTGTGGCCAGGCAGGGCTGTGCAATGGGGCAAGGGGATGGTGAGTGGGGAGGTCAGTTCTCCTCCTTTCTTTTCCTGCTTTTCCTGGGCATCAGTCACTGCAGACTGACGCCATCTCCCCCTTTCTCTCCCGCTGCATTCAGTGGAGGATGGTGAGGATGAGATTGTTAAACAGCCCAGGTAAGGGGAGTGTGTGCCGAGGCTGCATGTCCCAGGCAGGTGTCTGGGCACTGCTGTCACTGACSTGGGGATGCTGAGCTGCACCTTGGCCTTTTGTGGAGGAGGCTGATGGCAAACCTGGCTATGGGAGGTTGGGAGGTGCTGGGTAGCACCTGCACCTGGGGCATGTTATCGTGTGAACTGCTGTGGCAGAGCTGGGTGAGTGCTGCTGGCTCATTTGCCCTCAGCCTCACTGCTTCTCATGATTGCTATGTTGTGGATTCTTTTCTCACTTTTCCAGAGGCAAGCTGTTGGTGGAGCTGCAGAGCCCACCTCGTGCTCACCTCAAAAGAGGCACTGCCAGTGCTCAGCCACTGCTTTTACCTTCATCTTGGGAGGGTCCTGCCCGGAGCCCGTCCCCAAATGAGGTGTCCTCATGCCAGGTGTGCAGGCCACTGACCCACTGGGCACAGCTGGCACCGARCTGGGGAGGCCAAGTTGCAGCACRGTGTGTTGAGCACAGTGGRCAGGGGTGGCTGGTGACACAACACTTTGCTGGGCATTTTGGGAGTCACAGAGCAGGGGCTGTACCTGCTGCATGATGTCTTAYGGGGCCACAGAATGGCTGCGAGGCTGGTCAGGAGTGAGTGCTGTTGGGTTTTCCATGAGGCTTGTGTGTCACTGAGACTGTGGGTTCATATGGGAAGGAYGGGCTGAGCCATGGATCAGCCATTTACTGCTGTGCCGCCGTTCTTTCTGCTGCCACAGGGATGCCCGTGGGTCCAGCTGGGGCACAGTGGAGCAGCGGTGAGTGCCAGGGTCWGGCAGAGGTGTTGGCATGTGCCAGGGCACYTTTTGGAGTGCTTTCCTGTTCCAGGGCAGGGTCTATTTGGTGCTGGCTGAGCTCCTGCCCTCTGTCACTCGCAGACAGCCCCCGCAGCCSCTGGAGCCCCCCAGCACCCCTGGGTGCAGCCCCGGGAAGCTGCGACTGATAGAGGACGCTGAGGACTGGCAGCCCCGCACCGGCACCTCCCAGTCCCGCACCTTCCGCAAGCTGGCCCAGCTGACGGGCACAGACAGCAGCAGTGAGTTCCTGCAGGGCCTGGTGCTGGCTGGGGATACTGGAATTTCCCTGTGGCTTACCAGGGCCCAGCAGAGTCTGGARGGGCACTGGAGTGCTGGTTTTGGCCCCCTGTGGGGGCAGTGCATGGTCTTGTGGTGGTGCCGCTGGTCTGGGGCTGGACTCTGCCCTGTGGCTGGGCAGGGCTTTGTGTTGGGGTAAGGGGTGGTGGGAGGAGAGGTTGGTTTTCCTCTTTTCCCTTTCGTCTCCTGCTCTGTCTGGGCCTTGGTCTGTGCGGACTGACCGTTTCCTCCTTTCTCTCCTGCTGCGCTCAGTGGAGGATCATGATGATGTGTTTGTTAGGAAGCCCAGGTAAGGGGAGTGTGTGGCAGCAGGAGCTGGGGGGCTGCATGTCCCGGGCAGGACYTGTTGGGCATTGCTGCCCCTCAGCTGGCAATGCTGAGCTGCGCCGTGGTGTCCCAGAAACAGCGGGTTGGGGGTGGCTGATGGCACTGGCAAAATCCTGCTGGGTTGTGATGTTTGGGCAGCACCTGGACCTGGGGCACGGTGTCCTGCGAGCCTGGCGAGGGGCTGCAGGGCTGAGCTTGTGGATGTCACCAGCTTGTCAGGGTTGTTCCTTGTTCTGTGCAGCCAGGCAGGGGTGGTGCACAGCACCCCATTTTGTGCCTGTATCGCTGTGACACCTCCTGCCCTGTTTGCTGTGGCCCTTGGCTACCTGCTCTGCCCAGAGTGCTCTGACACAAATAAAAGCTGGGTTTGTAGCCATCTTATCCCTGCATTTGTCTTGGAGAGGCACGGTGACACTGGCTCTCCCTCTCTCCCTGTCATCCCTCATTCTGTGCCTCTTTAGCCCTGGCTTGCCCTGCCTGTCTCCAGTGCTGCTGAGCTGGACCCTGGGGCTCTGTCACCAGGTCAAGTTCAGGTCCCCCTGCACCCCAGTGAGACTGGGGTTGATCATCACATGTTAGCAGGCAGCCAAAGCCTGTATGGTCCCTCAGGTCACTGGTCAGTCCAAAGCAGCCCAGAATTCCATCTCCTGCCACTCCCCAGACCACCACAGTGGGTACCAGAGACCCTGGGGCTCCCTGTGTGTTGGCAAAGCYGAAGGCCTTTGGCTCAGTACTGCATCACTAAACCAGCTACTGCTGGGCAAGGGGGCTTGTTGGGGTTGGGAGCCATGCCTGCACTCCCTGGGCAGCGAGGGTGAACGGGGCAGGCTGCATTAACTGCTTGTTCTGTAGCCAGGTCTCTGTGCCGGACCCGTCCCCAGGAGCAACRATGAAGACTGAGCCAGGACTGGGTGAGCAAAACATCTCTGGGCTTTTTTGGGGGGCTGCCGAGGGATCAGGAGCACTGTCCTAAAGACCTGTGTGTGTGTCCAGCCCCCAGGACACCCAGTGCCACCCCCAGCCCTACCAGCCGTCCACCCTGGGCTGTGGACCCCTCGTTTGCTGAGCGCTAYGCCCCGGACAAGACGAGCACGGTGGTGAGCAAGCACAGCCAGCCGGCCACACCRACCCCCATGCAGAACCGCAGCTCCATCATGCAGGCAGCCCAGCAAGCCCCCGAGGGGCCYGGCCGCACCCCGCTCTGCTACAAGTGCAACAAGGTCATCAGGTGAGCCCTGGCTGCCAGCACAGCCACACCGGTGTCCCGGGCCTCGGTGTGGCTGATGTGGCTCTGTCCTGCTGCAGGGGACGGTACCTGGTGGCRCTGGGACATTATTACCACCCCGAGGAGTTCATCTGCTGCCAGTGCAGGAAGGTGCTGGATGAGGGCGGCTTCTTTGAGGAGAAAGGCTCCATCTTCTGCCCCAAGTGCTACGACACGCGCTACGCACCCAGCTGCGCCAAGTGCAAGAAGAAGATCACTGGGGTGAGTGTCCCTCAGGCTGCCCTCCATCTCCTGTCCTTGCCCTCTGCTTTGAGTGCCTGGCTCTGTCCCTTCCTGCCTTGGCCCCATCTCAGGGGATTCCTCGTCCCTTCCTGCCCTTGGTGGTCTTGCCCCTGGCTGACAGTGGCTCCCCTCCAGGAGGTGATGCACGCACTGAAGATGACCTGGCACGTCCAGTGCTTCACCTGCAACGCCTGCAAAACGCCCATCCGCAACCGAGCCTTCTACATGGAGGAGGGGCAGCCCTACTGCGAGAGAGGTAGGACCCAGGGACCCCATGTGTCACTTCATGTGGCCCTGGGGCACCACTTGGACTCGGCAGCTGGCCACAGCGGTGGGGAGTGAGCTGTCCTGCTCTACGGGGCTCCTCCTGAGATGTGGGGAGCACAGAGACCCCAATCCCACAGCCCTTGGTCCTCCCAAGCTGCAGGGTAGTGCCGTTGCTATGTTGCCATGGCGATGAGGGAGGATGTACATCAAAGCGAGTGCTGAATCCTGGGAGATGAGGTTCTCCTCCTCCTCCCCGGAGCTCCGGGGTGTCTGGGGCATTATCCCACCTGGATGGGGGCTGGCAGCGAGTCAGCTGAGCTGCAGCTCTGCTCCTCTGGGCTGAGGGGCTGTAGTGCATGGAGTGCTGACCTGGGCTCTGCCTTTCCTCAGACTATGAGAAGATGTTTGGCACCAAATGCCGCGGCTGTGACTTCAAGATTGATGCTGGGGACCGCTTCCTGGAGGCGCTGGGGTTCAGCTGGCACGACACTTGTTTCGTCTGTGCGGTGAGCCATGTGCTTCCCTCCCTGACCATTGCAGGGGGCTGTGCCTGTCCCCAGCAATCCTGCTCTGGGTGGGGTGCACCAGCAGCACAGGGGACCTGCTGCCATAAGGTTTTTCCCACTTGTCTCCATTCTGGGGGCTTGGGACTCTGCTCTGAGTGGTGGTTCCTGGSCATGCTACAGGGCCATGTGGAGTGGTCCCTAATCCCTGTGTGACACCAGTGGGGTGTGGGGTGTCTGGAGGCTGGCTCAGGGCCTCAACCTGATCACCTGCACTCTCCTCCCCAGATCTGCCAGACCAACCTGGAAGGGAAGACRTTCTACTCCAAGAAGGACAAGCCTCTGTGCAAGAGCCATGCTTTCTCCCATGTGTGAGGGGTGGAAGTTCAGCTGTGYCCACGCGTGCCCTTGGCCCTGCATGCTCCTCTCCCCCTGCCCTGCTGTCCCAAGGGAGCCAGGCGGGGCCCTTGGTCCTTTGCCTTGCTCCTGTCTCCTTCCTGGCAGCTCCTGGCTCAACTCCAGCCAGAGACCGTGCTGGGTTCAGAGCCCCTTATAGCTGGGTGGCTTTTTATATGCTTCTCGACTGGCCCTAGGAGCCCTGGAAGGGGGTGCTGCTTGGATCTCCTGCCCCTGTGCCCTGCAGCATGGTGGGCACAACCATGCTGAGGCTGGAATTGGAGGGGYCTGCCACAGCCAGGCTGCTCCCTTGCTGCCTGACAGCTCAGTGCCGGGGCAGGGATGCTCCTTACACATCCCTGAGTGGGTGAGGACCAGCCTCTGTCACCCTGTCCCCCACCATTCCTGCTGTGTGCTTGGGGCTGGAGACCTTGCCCTGCTCCCCTGCTGGGGCCCTGCCATGACAACCCCCAGTCCCCCCTGACATTGCTGCAGTGGCTTCCTGCCCCAGCTGCATTCCGGGGGGCTCYGTTCCTCGTGCCCCCCTCCCCGCTGGCCCACTGCTCCCCTGGGGCTGGCGGCGTGTGCTGATGGCCAGCCCAGCTGGACAGCTGCTCCTGCAAGGCTTGGGCACGGCTTCCTACCAAAGAGCTCTCTGCCACTGCMATCCTGGCCCATCGATGCCTCCCCACAACCCACACCCACCGGTCAGGCTGCACTGATGTAGCCACGGTGCTTTTAGTGCCTTTAATAAACACTTTTCTGCAAGTGCCGGCTGTCTCCAGCCCTGTGGTTTTGCCGAGTGAGGTGTGGCCGGCTGGGAAGGTCATGCTCTGCCCTCATCCCGCTCCCTCTGGGGCCTGACTCAGCTCCTTCCAGCTTTCCAGGGAAAATCTTCGCCTCAGATTTCTCCTCCTCTGCCTGTGTCAGCCGAGGCTGGACCCTTTGTGTCAACTGGGTCATCCCTCCTGTAGCAGGCAGGACCGCTAAGGGAGGGTGTAATTAGTCTGGGGTGCAAAATGCAGCAAGGAGAGATGGGGAAGGGGTCAGACTTTAGTGGGGGTCTCCACGTACCTGGCAGTGTCCTCTGATCCCTGCTGTGCCCTSGGCCTGAGTCCTGTGCAGGGGATGAGGAGTCACAGGGCATGTGAGCCACGTGCCCCAGCTCTGGGCGTTCTCCGGCGTGGAGCAGCCAAGCGTTCGCTCACGCCATGCAGCTGCCGTCCCGAAGGATGGGTGTGAGACTGTGCCGGCACCTCCAGCTGGAACGGGCTGGAGGGCAGCGGCTGTGGAGAAATGGGTGTTCTCCTCCCTCTCCACTCTGACAGCTGGAACGGTCATTAATAATCACAGCTTTCACCGTGATGAGCAATTGTAAGGAAAATCATCCTGCTAATGTACTGGAAGGTTCTGCCGGGGGGCAGGAGCTGGCTCCGGGAAGCCAAATGCCTCCTGGCATCACCCAGATCTGGACTGCGGTGCCACGTCTTCTCACTGCCAGTTCCAGGAGTGCAAAAGCCTGTCAGGATGGGACAAGGAAAGTCGAGTGATAAAGACAGGCTGGGGCTGKGCCAGGCGCTCAGGCTGGGGCACACGTGGGGAATGGGATGGTCACACTGAGGAGCAGTAGGACACGGGTCCAACAAGGGACAGAAGCAGCTGGTGCATGCCTGGCAGGGCCAGCCGAAGCAGGGCTGTGTTGAGTGCCCACGTGTGAGTCCCAGCTGCGCAGCCAAGGTCAGGGGAAGCACAGGGGAAGGTGAGGCGGCTCTGGCCTCACGTGAGCAGCCACCGAGCCAACCCCGGCGTGGCTGGACAGCAGCCCGTGAGTGGAGGGCAGGAAAGGGGCAGGGGCAGGCAGTCGTGCGGGACGAGCCYGCTGGGGGTAGCGTGGTCTGGGAACAGGTTGTGCCAGCTCAGCCCCAGGGTGCCCAGCTGTGGAGTAGGGCCAGGRCAGAGCCAGGGTGCTACAGCCAGCCTGAGTCTCCCCGGGGGAGAGCCAAGCATCCCCCTGTGCCGCTGCAAAATCTGCGCTCGCACGGGGTTCAGCTCTGGTTGGCTCCCTGTTGCCTCTGGGCCCTCCCGATGACGCCTGTGCTACCCAAGGTGCCTCTGTGCTTTGCCAAGGGCATCTCTTGCCCACCAGCTCTGCGCACCATGTGAGGAGCTTGTGCACAGGCAGCGGAAGGAGGGTCTCGGGTGGGCTGCGGAGGTGGAGCCTGGGGAGGGGCTGCAGCCTCGCTGCTCGAGAACAAAGCCTGGCGGCGGCAGGCTSAGAGCTCCCACCACATCCCCGAGCGGGGTCCCACCACATCCACCCCCAAAGCCATCTGAGCCGCTTGTGGGGCGCCTGCCCTGGCCYCAGCCCCCGCGCTGGCCCCGGCAGCTGCTCCACAGCTGCTCCCAAACTCTCAAAGGCTCTCAGGGCGGCTCCAGCTCTGCCCTCGCTTGGAAATGCTGGTGCGAGGAGGGCGTGGGGGGTGCGGGCGGCACAGCCAGGGCCTGTGGCCCCTGTCCCATGTCCCTTTGGGGTCATCCACGGACTGCTCTGAAGGGCTTGTCTTGGGACAGGTAACTCCAGCAACATCCCCAGCCTGCCGGGATCAGGCCCTGTGCACTCGCCACTGGTGCTCTGGTGGTTCTGGTCCAGGCTGGGGGCAGTGCCGRGGACMGGGAATCACTGTCTGCCCTGGCAGRACCATGRGGAYCTGKCTGGGAGCCCCTGCAGAGCGTGGGTCAGTGCAAAAGCAGCTGTGGGTTCACACAGTGGCAAAACCTCCTGCAAAAGGTGCTGCCGGACACAGCCTGGCAGGGTTCTGAAGGGGCTGGGGACTTGGGAACGGTGGGGATGGAGGGGCAGACAGACAGCAAAGGGGCCCCCAAAACTCCGTGTACACTGACCCCTTGCGCAGCAGCGAGGGCATGGATTGGGTGTGTAGGGCAGAGCCTACAGTGCCGTGTCCTTGGAGAGGAAACCTCGGGCATGGGGATCGGCGTAGGGCAGCTGAGGGCACAAGAAATCCCGGTGTGCCATGTCCCCTGGGTGCAGAGGGCGTGGGGCAGGGGAGAGTCTGGGGSTGGACAGGACCACCCAGCACGAGAGTTCTCCAGGGTGCAGGTTCCCGGGAGGGGCAGCGCGGGGTGCGGGGTCCCCAGGGCGGAGGAGAGCCCGGGATGCGGAATCACCCGGGGTGCCGGTTCCCAGGAGGAGCTGAGCCGGGGTTCAGTGTCCCTGGGGCGGGGGATGGCCCGGGGCGCGGTGTCGCGGGGGCAGAGCAGAGCCCGAGCTGCGGGATCCCGGGGGCGAGCGGTGTGCGGGGGCAGCCCGGCGCGGGGGCGATGCTGCCCGCACC